CCTGGCCCCAGCCTGTTGATTCCAGCCCCAAGTCTCTCACTCAGCCGCTCCCTCCACCAGGCTCCCAGAAGTGGGTCCTGACCTGGCCTGGGTGGCAACACTCAGCCCTGCTCCCTTCACTATCCCCTTGGGATGCCATTGGAGGGTTTGGAGACCTAAATAAACGTGTAAATCATATAAATACGCAAAAACTGAATTTTCTCTTCTGGTTCCTCACAGATGCTTGGGGGTGAAATTGAATCCTGTGCTTCATGTTTGTTCTGGAAATAACATGTGTGGGGTTGTTTGCCAGAATAAATTAGTCTTTGTCCTGATGCTGTGCCTATAGTGATGGCCTGACCCCATGGGGGTGGGGAGCCACCCAGGCAGCAGGGCCTGCCCCACCGCCCTGAGGAGGCCATCTGCAAATGGAAAAACTGAGGACAGAGCAGGAAGTCAGCCACTGGACAGGAGAGCTCAGAGCTGGCCCACTGTACCCCCCACCTCCTCTCCTACAGCCTCCCTATCCTGTTTGCTCCATCCCCTGCTTCGGCCCAGAAAAGGGTATTGAGGCCTCGCCATGACCATGGCTGGGCTCTCACTCAAATCCCACCTATTTACTGTGTACCTTCTTTGTTCTTGCCCCAGGTGCCCACCTGGGGTTTTGTGACTGAGTAAGCACTAAGCCATGCGTCCAGAGACCTGGGTTCGTCCCCCACTTTAGCCTGAGCTCGCAGTGTGGCTTGGGTGCTCCTGGGCCTCCCTGGGCCCTGGGTTTCCTATCAGTGTGGTTGAGAACTGGCCATCTGCACAGCTACCACTGTCTGGGTCCTCCAGCTCTTACCGAGGCTGTTTAAAAATAACTGCATCTTCCTGCCTGTCACTCTCCCTGTCAGCTGTCACCCCTAGCTCCGCATCCCCACCCCTGAGCCCCTCGCCCTCGCTAATTTCTGCTTCCACTCATTCTCAGCCTTGAACTGAGCCCTCATGAGATACCCAGTCTGCCAGGAGTAAGTGGTCCCACCCACCCCCACTTTTCTGATGCAATTTTAGTTCTGATTGGGAAGGGGTCTCTGCTAGGTGCTAACTGGGCTTTGACACTTGCTTGACCCTGTTTGCCATGGGAGGGTTTGGGCAGGAACTGGAAGCTGGAAATAAGTTATCTGAGCAGACAGGTGTTGAACATCACTAGGGTCACCATGGACAGCTGCACAGGCTGTACGCTGCACAAGAGTCCTGGGTAAGCTGGGGCTTAAATCCAGCCATGTGCCCCTCACCAAGCCGGGCACCTACCATGGCCCTGCATCCACCCAAAGGGGGCACCTGAAATGGCTTCCCCTGGACCAGGGAGGTGGGTTGTCATATGACCATTGCCAATCCCCAGCCCAAGTCCCTCAGTCCTCCGGCCTCTCCACCTTTCCCAGGCCTTGACCAGCCCCCAGCAAGCCCTGGCTCGTGGGTTCTGTCCCCAGGCCTGCAGAACAGCCGCCTTTATCAGGAGCCAGCCCTCTCTGGCAATGCATGATACCCAGGAGATGGAGCCGCTGCCGTGGGGAGCCGCTGTTATCTGGGAGGCTCGGCCCGCCAGCCGTGGGGCTCCGATTAGGGAGCATGGCCGTTTGCCTGTGGGTGCCTGTGTGGGCAGGTGGGGGGCAAGCCAGAGCCAAGGCTCCGGAAAGGGACCTGTGGGTCCCCACAGGTATGACAAACAGGGGCAGACTGGGAGGTCTGGGGCTGCCCCACTCTTTCTGTTGCTCAGGGAGTGACCTGAGCCAGCTGCCTTCCTCCCACTCCGTGTCCCCATGTCTTGGCCCACACATGGGAAGACTGAGTTGAATTCTGATTCCTCCTCCCACGGGAAGGTGGGCACCAGCGCCAGATGGAAGGTGTGGTCTCCTCATGGGGTCCCAACAAGGCCAGGAATGACTCCTACCAACATTCTGCACACAGAAAAGAAAATATGTGAAAACAGGGAGTCATGGCCACTGTGCCCGTCCTGTCTATGGCCCCAGCAGCAGAACTAGTGCCCAGAGGAGCAAGTGGGCAACCCTGTTAAGAGGTCCAAGTGCGGGCCAACCCCTGTGTGGCTTATTGTGTATCTGGTTGTCAGGATAGGGGTAAGCCATTGCATTAGGATTCTGGATGCTTCCCTCCGGATCCCACTGCCCTAAGTGGGCAGTGCACAGACTCAGCCCATGGTTGGCTCCCTACGGACAAATGCATGGATGGACAAATGAGTGCCCAGTGAGCTCATCTCTAGTCCGCCTCCTCATTCCCCCATCTCTCCCTCACTCACCCACCCAGGCATCCTAGGTGGGTTGGCAGAAGGCTCAGACCCTTGTGGGAAGGCCACAAAGTGACAGAGCCACCCACTGCCCCCCCTCGTTGCGGGGCAGATAAAGGGGCGCCGGCCTCCGCGGCCTCGCCCTGGTCTCCTGCCATCTTATCTGCCCTGGGGAAGACAAGGACCCAGTTAGAACGTTTTAGCCAGGCCTCCTGGCATATTTACACGTTATCTCTGCCATTAGGCCGGCAGTTATCTGATAATCGGGCCCATTAAGGCCACAGCCTGCCCAATCGGGGCTCCAGGAAGTGGGGCCGCCACAGCAGCGCTTGCTCGGGGACCAGGCCAGGCCACGTGAGGCCTTCGTGGGCCCGGGCAGCCTGTATGGCACCTGAGGCCTAAGGTGGCCTGGCCTTCTGAGCAGAGGTTGTGCAGCCTAGGGAGGCGAGGCTGCCATCTGAGGGCATGGCCACCACCATCCCCTTGTCTGATGAGGACACTGAGGCAGGGACGGGGGTAAATGCAGGTGTGATTCTCCCAGGGCAGAATTTGTACAGCTGATAAATTTGTACAACCTTGGTGGCTTAAAACATCAGAAAGTTATTCTCTCACAGTTCTGGAGCCAGAAATCCCAAATCCAGGTGTTAACAGGGCCTCGCTCCCTCTAGAACAGCGGTTCTCAACCTGTGGGTCGCGACCCCTTTGGCGGTCAAACGACCCTTTCACAGGGGTCGCCTAAGACCATCCTGCATATCAGATATTTACATTACGATTCGTAACAGTAGCAACATTACAGTGACGAAGTAGCAACGAAAATAATTTTATGGTTGGGTCACAACATGAGGAACTGTATTTAAAGCGCCAGAAGGTTGAGAACCACTGCTCTGGAGGCTCCAGGGGAGGGTCCTTCTTGCTTCTCCCAGCTCCTGGAGCCCAGGCGCAGCTTCCTCCTGGCCACATCACTCCATCTCTGCCTGTCTTCACACCATCTTTTTCCTCGAGTCTCTCTTCTGTGTCTTTTTCCTGTGTCTCTTATAAGAACAGTAGAGGCCTGGTGCACAAAATTCGTGCAACAGTAGGCCTTCCTTCCCCTAGCTGCCGGCACCGGCTTCCCTCTGCCACCGGGGACCCAGCCTTCCCTCCAGCCACTGGAAGGCACCCGGGTCCCACCCTCGCAGCCCCAGCTTTGTCTGGAAGGACGTCTGGTCTAATTAGCATATTATGCTTTGATTATTATAGATTCTTCATTGATTTAGGGCCCATTGGATGATCCATAATGGTCTCATCTTGAGATCCTAACTTAATTATATCTACAAAGACCCTTTTTCTAAGCAGGTTCCAGTGGAAATATCTCTTGGGGGCCACCATTCATTCTACCACACAGGTCATTTGGAACGTGTGGCAAGCCTGGGCTGAACCTGGGAGCCTGAGTGTAGACCCTGTCCAAATCCAAGTTCCCACCCACCCCGTGTTAATGACCACTGTAGGGCCTCACAGCTGAGGTCCACCTGTCTGTGGAAACGTAATGGAATCCTGGCTCTACAGTGGATGCCACTCCTCTAGCCATGCTATGGAGTCATGGCCAATGCCACACAGGCTGTCAGAGCCTAGAGAGGGTGGCCCTTCTCATGGCACAGGGAACCTCAGGCCCCTGGGAGCCTTACAGCCTCAGCTAGGAGACAGGCCATGAGAGAGGCCATGGCTAGCCAAGGACCTCAGAAAGAGCCAGGGTCCGGATTTTCCAGAGAGTGCACGATGGTGTGGGAGCAGCACCTTCTGGGGTCACCTCTCATCATCAGGGAGTAAATGGAACTGACCTCAGCACCACCCAGGTGCAGATTCTGGCTTTGCTGAGGCCCTGGCTGTGTGCTTCCGATGCCCCACAGCCACTGTGCTAAGCATGCTAGGTGGATTAACTCATTCAATCCGCGTACCACCCAAGGAGGTAGGAAGTACTGGGGATCCCATCTTATAGATGAGGAAACCGAGACCCAGCATTTCCACAGCTGCCCTCACAAGCCAGCTGTGCAGATTCGGGATTCAGCCCGTGGGAAGGGGCTGGGAGGACAGTGCGATGGGATGGCAGTGGGTCTCATCATCATCATCCTCTGCTCTGTGCCCATCCCAGTGTAGACAGCAGGGGTGGCTTGGCTCCATGCATGCATCCTGGGTGCATTGCCAATGCCACCCTGGGCTGCATGAGGGTCACAGATGTTCCTGATACAGTGGCTCTAGTTCCAAGGCCACACATGTCCCTGACAGAGCAGCCGTACACCCCAAGCAATGCACCTGCCTGCTCAAATCCAGCTGAAGGCACCCCCTCATTGTCCTCTCTCTGCAGCCCATTGTCTTCAGGGAAAGGTCTTGCCACAGGGTCTGGCCGGGCCCCTGAAGCAGGCACCAGCCAACATCCCTGTAACTCAGGCCTAGCCCACAGGGCAGTACTCCCTCCTCTGCCCTGCAGCCCCCTGACTGCTTCTGGAGGGCTGAGGCCGCAGAGGTAGGCTGGACCTGGGCAGGCAGCAGGGCTGGGCGGTCACCATGGCTGGCGCTCCTCACACCTCTGATGTCTCTCCCCACAGACGAGCTGGAGCAGGTCCTGCAAGATGGGCAGAGGTGTGTGCGGGCTCGACGCAGCCTTGCTGAGGGCCTATCCTGGGGCCCATTCCACGGGAGCATCCAGAGCAGAGCCTCATCCCCCAGGCAGGCAGAACCGGTAAGGAGCCCTAACCACGGCTAGCCCACCCTCTGGCCATAGGGCAGCAGCCAGGGAAGCATCCCACCCAGAGCACAGGCCCCTTAGACCCCCTGAGCCAGTCCGGAAGCTCCCACCACTTCATGTGAAATACATCAGAAGATGTGGGTGTTGGGGCCAGGAGGGCTTCCTGGAGAGTTCAGAGACCAGAGCCCCCAAGGGACCTTGGGTGATGCAGGGAGGGCTTCCTGAAGGAAGGGTTTTTAAGGGCCCCTTCATGGATGAGTAGAAGGTGGTGAGGCAGAGAAGGAGAAGGGCTTTCAAGAGGAGGAAGCAACAAGGAGCCAAGTGGTAGGGCTGGACCCTGTGTGTGGCCGTGTGGCTGGGAAGAAGTCAGGGACCTCACCTAGGGCTTTATGGGCAGGGGCCCTCCTGGTGGTAAGCCAAGTGGTTTTCTGGGCATTTGGGGAGCGCTGCAGCAGAAAGCAAGAGATTCATTCTGGTTTTGTCCCTGTGGGTCCTTCTGAGGACAAGGAGAGGGCATCTGTGGTACCTGAGTGTCACAGCACCTCTTCAGCACTTGCTAATCTCCCTCTTTAACTAAGAATCCCCACCTGGGCAGCACCCTCCCCTGGATGAGAAAAGCACCAGGGTAGCTGGGCAGGGCAAAGGAGGAGTGATCCACAAGTGCCTATCACAGGGCAGGGCTCAGTGGGCACTAGAGCCAGCAGCCCTGCAGCCGGGATGATCCTCTTGTCCTCTGGCCCCAAGCAAGGAGGAAACGGTGGAAACTCCAGGATGGATTTCGGCTTTGTGGAAGGGGCCTGATTGGGCTCCACAGTGGGATGGAGCCTATGGTGTTTAGAGCAGTCTCTGGAGGCAGTGAGCTTCCTGTCACTGGAGGCATTCAAGCAGCAGTTGACTCTTCAGAGGTTAGACTGCTGGGAGGCAGTTAATAATTGGAAGGAGGAGGGGGTGGGCTGGGAGCTCTGTGGCTCTGGTCTCTGAACTCTCAGAGTGTAAAGAAAACCTGTGAGCAGCGACAGGACAACGGCAGGGTGGCTGAGGGCTTGGGGTCTCAGCATGTTCTGAGTGGAGTCTGCACCCATCTCCTGTGCTCCCTCCTGGGGATAATCAGCCCCTTTCCAAGGTGGACAGGTGTGTGTTCCAAACTCTCTGCCCACACGGTGCTGTGTGCCCATGCTTACACACAACACCTCCTTTCCTCCCCCTCCCACCCTGTGAGGCAGGACTGCTGCCCCTGTTCTACAGATGAGGAAACGGGTGAAGTGACTTGCCAAAGCCATCCAAATCAAACAGCAGAGGGAGAACTGGAACCAATGTCTGCCCAACCCCAGGGACCCCTGCAGGCTCCATAAGGACAGGGCTGAGGAGTCCGGAGACACCGGCCTCCCCTCCCACCTGCAGCTCCTCTCTGGAAGTTTTGTCCTCCTGGGGCCTGGGGCACAGGTCAGCCTGCGGAGACTTGGCACGAGGCTGGAAACGCTCTCCAGGCAGAGATAATGTCCGAGGGGAGTGAGGGTGCGAGCACCAGAGAAGCCAGCAACCTTTGAGGCTCTTGCGGAGGAGCCCAGGGAGGAAGGGGCCTCGCCTGCTCTTCCCTGCAGCTTTATCTCCCGCAGAATTAAATCCCTGATTAACCCTTATCTCCCCAGGAGGCGCTATCTCTGCCTTGGCGCCGAGTGTCCAGACGCAACGTACAAGATGATTGATTTCTTAAAGATACGCGAGCCTTTCTGATACTTCATTTATTGTCTAAATATTTTTGCTAACGTTTCAGTGGGCCCCTTATCGAGCTCAGCTGATGGGTCCCAGTTCTCTCCCCCAAGCACCTCCTGCCCCAATCATCCTATCAGCCGCCTGGCGGTATTCACTCTTTCAAGAGGGGGGAGGGGGAGGGCCGCCGAAGGGGTGTATTGGCCCTTTCCTGCTGGGGGCGCAGGCTGGAGAGGGGATAAGGTGGCCGGACTCTGGGAGCGGGAGCTTTAGGAAGGACACAGAGGGCACAGAGCCTGGCGGGGGATTAAAAGTTGGTTCTGGCACCAACCTGCTGTGTTAACTCAGGCAGGTCCTTCCCTGATCCAGCAGCAGTTTCCACTGTTGAAAACGAGGGCTTGGAGGCCCAGCCAGCTCTAAAATTTGCAGTCAGTACAAGAGAAATGTTCAGGATGGATGGTGGATGGATGGGTGGATGAGTGGATGGTGGATGGATGGGTAGATAAATGCATGACAGATAGATGGATGGGTGGATAAATGAATGAATGAATGGGCAAATGAATGAACAAACTTTCACCCCCAGCTTGGTCCACACTTGCTTGGCCCATCTGTGTCCAGGGCTCACCCACTTTAGCCATAAGACCATCACAACATCAGTGAGGGACCCCATGGTGGCCAAGCAGGGCAACAGGTTCACTGGGGAAAGACCCTGCCTGAGAGGTTGAAGTGGGACCCCCTGGGCCCTGACCTACCATGTGGCCCCAGGTGTCTTTGCCCCGGATCAGTGTAGAGGGTGGGCCTCCTTGGTCCTTCACCTAGAGATGGAGGTGGAGGTGGGGCTGGGGCCCTTGGCTCTGAGCAGCTTTCCATGCAGGAAGCCTCGAAGGCTGGCATCAGGGGTCACTGCCATGGCAGAGCCAAACCTCACGACAGAGCAAGCTCTGGCCAGAAGCCTGGGGGGGGGGGGGGGGCGGCGCTGAGGCAGGGTGCCTGGGTACACGCCTGGTGATGCCCCTCGCTCCCTCTTTGATTCTCATTTACATTTGTTTGTAATAGGGAAGAATGCCCCCTGCCCATCTCTGCACTGCTTTCCCCTGACGTCTGGGACACCCAACCTGGGTGTGGGGGGCTGTGAGCTCTTTACCCTGGTCGGGAGGCACTGCAAGCTGCCCTGCATCCTGCTTAGTGCACCTGCTGAAACATTTCCCAGCATTCCACGTCAGGGCGGCTTCTTCCCCTCGCGCCAGGTGCTGCTGGCTGCAGCTGTCCAGCCTCCATGTTCCCACCTGGACATGTTGTGACACACCCTGACAGCAGGCGGTTCCGACCCACTAAGATCTGGGCACAGCAAGGCAGCACCGGAGCTGGCCTGCCAGCTATGCCTGCCCACGTCCCTGCCCCACCACTGCCTCCTTACTTGCCAGCCCGTGGGCCTGTCCATGCCCCTGCTGCTCCCGGGGACCTCTTCCAGCCATCGCAACCCATTGTCCTCTGCTCAGTATACCCAGCAGCCCATGGGACCTCACAGGAAATGCCCTGTGGCTCTGCTGCTCCCTTCCCCTTCCCACATTACTGAGGGGTAGCCTGGCCCAGACCTGGGGTGCCAACAGGTCACTAGGACCATGATGGTCAGGCCCTGGACGAGAGCTTTACCCTGGCACTGTTAACTCACCTTGGCCATGAGGCGGTTCAGAGAGGACCCCAGAATGTAAGAGTTTCCCATGGCTGCTGTAACAAAGTGCCACAACCTGGTGTCTTAAGCGAATTATAGTCTCTCCTAGTTCTGAGGCCAGGGGGTGGCAGGGCTGGTTTCTTCTGGGTCTCGGAGGAAGGATGCATTCCAGGCCTCTCCTCAGCTTCTGGTGGCTGCTGGTGGTCCTTGGGGTTCCTTGGCTCGGAGATGTATCAGTCCCACCTCTGCCTCTTCTCTCCCTGTCATTGGATTTGAGACCCACATGGATAATTCAGGATGATTTCACCTGGCTTTCCTTAATTTAGTCACATCTGCCAAGACCCTTTTTCCTAACAAGGTCACATTTGGGCTCTGGGTGGACATATCTTTGGGGGCCACATCCAGCCGGCTCCACAGAGCCAGCTGTCAGCAGAGCGAGGGCCCAGCCAGGTTGGCCCCTGGTTCTGCATAGGACAGCCCCGAGGGGATGCTCAGGTCTGGGCTTGGCTGGAACACCGGGGTAGGGAAGAGGGCATTGTGGGGTGTCCTGGAGACAAGCTCCAGACAGGAGACCTGCTGTTGGCTTTCCTAGGTCCCTGGCACCCTTCCTCTCCATGCCTCAGCTTCCCTACCTGCAGCTGTGGGAGCTGGGAAAGTGCCACAGGGTATGGGAGGTGCTGTTGGCAAGAAGGGGCTCCAGCTACAGAGTCAACCCAGACTGGCCTCCAGGGGATCCAGGAGGAGGACTCAGCCGGTGACAAAGACCCGGGACCCCTCCCACCACACCAGAACGACTATTGTCCCCTCCCCTATTGTCTGCCTCCTCCAAGTCCCATTCCCACAGATGCCCACACAGTGCCCCTCCTCACCCCTCCAGGCCTCACCCCACCGTCCTGGCTACAGCTGCCCGTACCCAGCCCCTGCCCACCAGGCCGCAGCCCTTCTCAGCCTTGTCCTGTTTCTCCAGCACTTTCTCTTCCAGCCTCCACAGCTTCTTTCTTGGTGGGCTTCCCACTCCAGCATCCTGCCGAGACATCAGGGACTGCATGTTCTGTTCATGGTGTCCCTGCACCTGGCACAAAGCATGCCCTCATTCATTCGGGACTATTTGCCGAAGAATGAATGAATGAATGAATGAATGAATGAATGAATGAATGAATGAAAGAAAAAGCTGCAGTGATTCAATGGAGGTCATGCATACTTGGGTTATAATCCTATGTGCAAAAGCCACCATCACCACCACCCCTCCCAGGCCTTGGGCGCCATTAACCTCTGTGGGCCTCAGTCTCCTCTCCTGTGAAATGGGTTCTTCACAGGGTCTGGGGAGACAAAGGGGCCTGAGGACTGAAAGGCCATTGCCTCTGGCAAGGTGAGCTGGGGACGTGGGCGGGGCTTCTCGGGATGGGCTGACGGACTGAGGACTGGAGTTGGGGGGGCCCCAGTCAGAGCCCACCCTGGCCTGCCCCAGTTCTGCCCTCTCAGGAACCTGCCTGTGGTAACCTGGGGGAGGGCCAGTGGCCCCGCTGACCTTCTGCAGGGCTGTCTGCTCCCTGTGCCAGGCCACCCTCCCCCAGAACAGGGCCCCCACCTCACCCTCCATGCGGCTTCATGAGAAGCACTGCGAGGTTTGGGAACAGCCTCAGATAAAGTTGTCACAGCGGATGCGGCGGAGATAGGGTTTCTGATGGTTATCGGTGGGCACAGAATCCAGACACTGACCTCTTTGTTGGGGAAACAAGGAGTGTTCTCAGATGCACCCAGAGAATTTAAAGTGGCCGCCCGTTATCCTGGGGCTGGGTGGGGCCGCCCTGGAGCCAGGAGGGAGGAACGGGGGCAACCCCGCCGGGCTGTAGGCAGGGCAGGCAGGGCTTCTCCTGGCTCCTGGCGGGGCTGAGAGCGAGCTAGACCCAGACTGGGCACCCAGCCTGGGGGCACCCATGGAGGAAAAACAGCTGGTGGTACACACGACTCTGTTAGTTTTGGCTGGAGGGCCAGGGGAAGTTGTGACTAGTCCCCTCCAAGCTTGTTCCCCCTGCCCACAAGGCAAGGCAGGCTAGGAAGGAGGCCTGTCTCTGCCCAGCGCCTTCATCACCAGAGAAAAGGGCTTCTGTTCCGAGGCTGCTCGAATTGGGGAGAATATAATAGGGAAAAAGGAAAGAAAATAAAGGGGCAGCCCCATGTTATGTCAGCCCCTCCACAGAGGGAGTGGACTGAAATTTGCCCCTCACCTGGGGCTCAGTGTGCTCCTGGGGGCAGGGAGCTGGCCTTCAGGCTGCAGCCAGCAGACATTGGGGTCCAGCTGCCTGGCACAGGGCTAGGGACTGGCTCAGGGCTGGCTGGGGGTGGGATAAGGGCAGGCTGGGCAAGGCCATGCTACACTCTCCAAGAGCCAGGGGTCCCTGCACCCCTAGGAGCCAAGTGCCACTCAGGTGTTTGTGCCCCACCCTTTTCCAGCCTTCCCCATTTAAGTGGGGGACCAGCCCACCTTGGTGTTAAGGGCTGAGGGAATGTGGGGGGTGAAAGTCAGTCATAAAGCTCTGGATCTCCTGACCCATCTCCTCCTGGGAATCAGGTGTAGGGTCTGGGACAGAGCCCCCTTTAGGCCCCTGCATTCCCTCCCTCCTCACTTGCCCTCACAGATAGGGGCTGTCACCTAGCCCAGCCAGGGCAGCCACCAAGCGCAGGTGCTCAGTACCCACTGGGACACAGAGATGGGCTGCTCTGGGCAGAAGGCACAATGCTGGCCGGGGACATGGCGCCACTGCCGTCCGTCCATCAGCTTAGAATGTACATGGAAAATTAGGGGTTCTGCAGCGTCAGCAAAGCTGAGCGCGGGGTTTTTATCATGCTGCGAACACGCGCTCCTGAGAGTGATAAGCATTAAACCGACCGGGAGGCTGTCAGTCTCAGTGTGAGGGTTTAGAAATATTGGGACGAATAATTAGATTTCATATCGTTACCGCAGCACCCATCGGAGGATCAGGCAGATTAATTTTTTTTCACCCTCCTCTACTCATTAATATTCATTAGAGACTCAAGGAGACCCAGCCTCTGCCTTGCTGCTGGTTCACCCACCGCTGTGCCAGCACCCCCCATCCATTCTACTTTGCCCTAGGCCTGACCCCCTGCTGTAGCCCCAGTGGATGTCCCAGCCAACAGGGACCCCTAGCTGGCACCCAGCTCCCACCCCTGCTCTGCAGTGTCAGAATCACCAGGTGTCAAAAGGAGGGAGCTGCTTGCCACCAGCCTTCCTGAAAGCAGGCTCGTTGTTGGAGATGCCCACCCCAAGATGACATTTAGCAATTGCTGGGCCGGTGCCCCAGTGGACACCAGGCTCCTGGCTCCAGAGACACAGCTCCTACTTCGTGTGTCCTATTGGCCAAAAGGAATGCAAAAGCAAGGGTGTTGGTGGTAGGGGCGTGTTTGCCATGTGCGGGTCACATACCAGACAGGTGCTGTTCCAAAGGAGGGCTTCCCACAGATTGCTTCTTCCCAATGCCCTAGGGCCGTAGTCGGCAAACTCATTTGTCAACAGAGCGAAATATCAACAGTACGACGATTGAAATTTCTTTTGAGAGCCAAATTTTTTAAACTTAAACTATATAGGTAGGTACATTGTTATTAACTTAATTAGGGTACTCCTAAGGCTTAGGAAGAGCCACACTCTAGGGGCCAAAGAGCGGCATGTGGCTCGCAGTTTGCCGACCGCGGCCCTAGGGGAAACTGAGTCACAGAGTCATGAATGAGACATGCCCTGCAGGCAGGTGGCAGGGCAAGGATGGGTCCAGAGAGAGCAAGAAGACTCAGGCCACAGTTCTGATCAGGAGGGGCATCACCCATTTGCAGAGAGATGCCAAGACCCAGGGAGGGCTTCGTGGTACTGGGACAGGTGGAGCTCTCCCTGACCCACTGGCCAGCTGTTCTCTGCCCACCTTTTTCCATGACCAGGGTGCTCTGACCTGGCTGGGAGTTCTTACCGGGCGTGCCCGGCACACCAGCCTGATCTCGCAGGGTCTCTGAGTCTGCCACAGGGTGAGGACAAGATGCAGAGGTAGTCAAAGGGGTGATGCCCTGCCCAAGGTCACAGTGGGAAAGTCAAGCCTGGACTGGATCCCAATGCCCAGCTCTGGAGCCCCTGTGGTCCCCACAGCCAAAGCCCAGGAGAGTGGCGTGGGCTCAGACCTGGCGTGGAGGTGTCTGGAATCCATCAGAGGACATCCCACACACCATGTCCTGCCCTGGGCATCCCACCGTGGCAGCATCCCCACCAACTGCCATGTGCACAAACCACTGCCGTTTAGGTGGTAGCATTTTCCGGTGACAGCAAGTGACACTGATTCTTTAGCTAAGGTCCTGATGCTCAGACCTTTCCAAGTAAAAGGCATTTATTTGCATAAAACAAAAAGTACCCAAACGCTGACGTGTGACATGACTTTCCACATGGGACTCAGCTGCTAAGCTTGGGGACCTCCAGGAAGAGGATCCCGGAACCGGGGTCCAGTGCTGGGGCTGAGGCCCAAGAGGCAGCAGCGGTCACACCCACTTCTTTTTTTTTCTTTTAAATATATATTCTATTGATTTTGTACAGAGAGGAAGGAAGAGGGAGAGTTAGAAACATCGATGAGAGAGAAACATCGATCAGCTGCCTCCTGCACACTCCCTACTGGGGATGTGCCGCAACCAAGGTACATGCCCTTGACCGGAATCGAACCTGGGACCTTTCAGTCCGCCTGCTGACGCTCTATCCACTGAGCCAAACCGGTTAGGGCTCACCCCCACGTCTTCAGGCAAAAAGGGCCATGGTTCTGCCCTGCCCACCAGCCTGCCATGGGTCTGCACCCCAACCCCACGTGTAACCAAGAGCTGGGCCACACAGTGGGGCTGCAGGCGGCTGATCCCCGGCCGGCCGTTTCCAGGCACAGGCTGCACTGGGACAGGGGACATGTGTTTCCTCTTCTTAGCTGGGCTCCGGAAATCAGGCCACCCCCTCCGAAGCCCCGTGGACAGCAGCCTTGAGAGCCTAATCCAGAACTCTTTCCTTCCGGATACTGCAAAAGCCAGCTTGCAGACCCAGCCGGGAGGGAGAACACTGCTGGGCAAGAGGCTGGCGTGACCTGCCCCCCCCTCCCCCTTCCTTAAGCCTCACTCTCCTCCCTGTGAGACGGGAGAAGGACGCAGCCTGCTCTCCAGGCTGGCCCAAGGCTGGGTGGGCAAGGGGCTGTTCTCGGGAGCCATGTGGAGGGGGCCAGGGACTGAGCCAGGCTCAGCATGGGGACATTGTACTACTTGGGGACCTCGGTTAGTGGCTGGGCCCAGGAAGGTGTTCTTTGAGTGTCTGCCATGCTCTGGCCCCAGGATGATCTGAACAAAAGTGGGCCTACCCTGCCCTGCAATGGGTAGGGAGCCCCACTGTCTGGGAGGACACAGAAGCCCCTTTCCTGGGGGCCTGCCATCTCCTCAGGACCAATCTCTGCCTCCCCCCATCGAGGCCCTGGGGGCCCGTGTGGGAGGAGCCTATGCCTGGTGCAATCCCATGCACCCCGTGGATTTCTCGAAAACCCAGCAGCCTGCTAAGATGGGGATGGGGGTGGTAAGGAGAGAACACAGGTCTGTGTGTGAATTCCCTCTGTCACTGGCTGGCTGTGTGACCTTGGATATGTTGCTTCATCTCTCTGGACCTCAGTTTCCAAGAGAACCCAGCTCCTGAGCTCTGAAAGGTGTCACTAGCACAGCATTTGACAGGGAATAGGCCCACAGCCTGGTCCAGCCATCCTACCAGGTGGTCTCTTGGGCTTCCCCGCGTGTGCCCCGTGGAGAACCCCTAGCTGGGCTCTTCCCATTCTCTGTCCATGCTGACCCCCTCCTTTCTGCCCCCCAGAGCCCAGCCCTGACCCTGCTGCTGGAGGACGAAGCCTGCTGGCTGAGGACACTGCCCCGGGCCCTGACGGAGGCTGAGGCCAATGTGGAGATCCACAGGAAGGGTTGGTATCTGGCGCTTCCCTCTCTGCCTTCCGGAAGGTGGAGGTCCTCTCCCAGGGCCGGCTCTTAAAGGGAAACCAGCCTGCTCTGGGCCGGGCCAAGGGACTGGCCAACACACCCCTAGCACCCGATTAATGCCCATCTGGGGTCGCACAGATGTCTGCCCTGGAATGGGGGAGCAGGGTCACA